ATGAACTATTACCATTTTTAAGGTTGGCCCATTGTCTTGGAAGAATTAGCTTAATCAGCAGTAATTTTTTACTTATCTTTTTCCCAATTGTCTAGTATTGAATTTATTAGACGCGAGGATTTAATGTTAGATCCATCAACCTAATAAAATTAAGGTATATGCACTATCTAAATAACGATTTAGGATCATTGCTTTGTAATATAAAAAACTATTCGAGAAAACAGGCTAATTATTATAGAACTATTGTCTCGATCGCTAGCCGGCAACATTTAGATAGTGAATTATGATATAATTATGCTGCCCGTATAATTAAATAGAAAGTTTAGAGAGCAATAATAGGAAATAAATTAAATAGATATAAATAGAAAATACTATCCAATCACAATAAAGATAAGTGAAGATATCGCTAACAATGACTTGGCTCTCGGAGACGTTCTAAGTGGTATGCTGGCCGATTGGATTATGAGCTTGAGTAGCCAGGGACAATAAGATGTCACTAACTCGTAGTTTAATGCATAATGCATCCGTTTCCTCACTTTTAGAACCACCTTCGGAACCTGAATCTCCTGAAGCAAGGGACGTGAGCACCAATTCCTGCCTTGTTACGTGGCGACCTCCCTATAAAGATGGCGATGCCACTTTAGCCTACTATCACTTGGAGAAGAGGGCTAATCAAAAGGGAAATTGGGTTCGTGCCACTAACCAAAAGTTGTCAATTCTTGCTGGACAGGAGAACGAGCCTTTCAGTACAATGGTGACCGGACTGATTCCAGATAATGTCTACGAATTTAGAGTGGCAGCCGAGAACGTCGATGGTCTTACGGGCGAGTTCAGCCTACCCAGTCATCGTATCTCTACGCAGCCTCCTTTCTGTACGCTTTTTAATCATTCCTTATTTATTAAGGCCTCACCATTAAATAATGGATAGGATCTTCTTGATTATAAGATACACTGTTTAGGGGATTAAAATTTTCTATATTACGAAAGTGTGGGGACCAGGATGGTATGGCCATTACCATGATCACGGTCTTCTTACGTACAAATATATAAGAAAACTCGGGAGAAAAAGATTTAGTGCGATTCTTGGTGTTTTAGAGTATAAAAATTCACCTTTTACCGAGTAGTTAAAACTCAGCACACACTAGGTTCTGTAAATGTGTAGTTATGTTTGACTATACAACGTGAGTCATTTTGGGCTTGCTTTTCATAGTTCCCCCAATGTCACATGCTGAAAACAACCATGCACCTTACGAACTTACTTTTATACAAGTCAACTTCACACAGAGGTAAGGTGTACGGATGGCTCAACCTAACCTGTTACTTCGCCTAAGAATAGGCTATGCTTAACTTGGAGTTATCCCTTCAGCAGTTAAAATATATGTCGTTTCAGAAGGATTGCATTCATTATTGGTAAATTATAAATATTTCGATTCTTCCTTTCTAATGTAAATCATTTAGCCATACCCGGGAAGCCATCCCGACCAGATATCAAGAATGTTACAGAAACCTCGGCTACCCTTACCTGGAGGCCGCCTTATGATGACGGTGGGGATTCCATCAAACACTACCTAATCCAATATAAGGTTCGTTTCACGAATACACTGCCAATTTGTTCTTAAAATTATTGTACTTTGTTGAGATGTCTAAATAAATGTTGCACTTAGTCACTATATGACTTTCTTTTTCTTTGCCCAGGTAACTTCAGGCACTCATTGGGCCCCTAGTAATGAGGAGCCGATTGACTGTGAGTTCGCCTTGACTGGTCTGAATGCTGAGCAGGAGTACCACTTCCGTGTAGCCGCGGTGAACACCGCCGGGCCAGGAGAGTGGTCGGATGTTTCAGAAACCTGCACACCCTATAAAGTTGTAGGTAAGTGAAAATAGTTGCACCCTTATGGATTCTTAAGCTTAATCTTAAGAAAAACTTTAATATCTTGACCAGTTTTACTACCCCGTAGATCTATATCAATTTTTATGGGGTATATTTAATTTAAAATTGTACGAAAGTAGAAGCGTTCCGATTCGGCTCAAAGCTAACA